CCCCTTCGTTCCGCACACCCAACCACCAGCACCCCCCAATCTTCGTTCATCCCTCTCTCCTGCTATTTGAATAGAGAGCCTGCGGAGCACTCTTTTGTTCAGTAGCGCTCAGCTGCTGGAGAGGTGAGCACCACTCTGGTTGGCGCTCATCCACTCATCGCGGCTGCTGATTTGACAAGTCCCCGAAAGACGCAAGGACACGTCTCCGCATCCAGGCGCACTGCACACGAAACGACACAGACCCCGTCTCCCTGTCTGACAGCAATTCCTCGGACTCGCGGGGCTTTTACGCGTGTCTTGGATGGTTCAGCTTCCCTGACTGTGGCGCTACCACCTGCACTGTATCACACAGACGCTCCTGTAAAGCTGCGGCATCGCTCTACATTCCTGTAGACGGGACCTGACTTGATCTGAAAGGTGAAGGCGAGTAGTCTTGTGTGTTTTTGTATATCTATTTATTTCTGAATTTGTCTGACTGTGTTATAAAATTAAGTCAATTTAACATTATTTTAATTCCACGAAACGAAATGGGTGTTTCACGAATTTTGTTCACTTAAAGTCGATCATCATTTGGAAATGTCCTTGTCGGTACTATTCAAAGACAAAGATATGTGGCTGTTACCAAAAGAAATGTGCTTTATATCGCAAAGTAGTCTTTGCAAGCATGCGAGTCACTGCTTGAAGCTAGTTACTGCTTCCATGAGGCTATTTTTCAATTAATCTTTTTAGGTTTTGCTGTGTTGGTGATTTAGTTTTAATAAGACTCCAAAATGCACTTTGACAAAAGTTAAGCGATTTTGCTGTTTTCTGTCTGTTTGAATTACGTCGTAATTGTCCAATTATGCAGCATCTGTTGAAAAGTAATAAATGTAGCAAAGCGTCGTTCCCTCTTGTTTTCTCCTTTGAGGCTGCTTATGTTCAAAAGGATGTTTGACAGCGCCGGTTACTGTACGATTTGGATCTGTATGACCATGAGCTCACTTCTTTGTAGTGAAAATCCCATTTTCTCCTCCTTTGGTAAGCCTTCAGGTGAGGCAGATGGGGACAGAGGGAGCTTTTGGAGTGGGTGTAAGTCGATAGGCAGCGCAGGCAGGGCTGTCAGCGCTGTCAGCGAAGCAAAGGAGGGAAACCTGAGACATTATCTTGGATGGCACTTGTACTCCACCTAAAGGGTCTCTCAATTATTTCTATTGAAGAAAGGCTGGCATCTAGCAGAAGGAGCTCTAGGTCACAAACTGACTGAAAAGGAGGAGGTCCGAGCCCACCCTGCACGCCACATTTCAGTCCTGTGTGGCAACATAGCTTTCATTTGACTGTGTAGCAGTGAGGAGTGTTTTTTGTGGATGAAAAAGAAAGTAAAGTTTTGTTTCGTTTTTCATGTTTGTCAGAGAACGGCAATGGAGCTGGAGTGGAGTTGCTCATGACCCCCTGGGAAATTAAGCAGAAATTCAGCCAAACTGTTTGTGAAATGGTTACTAGCCTCCCTCCCTCCCCTTTCTCACTCTCGCTGGGTTCTTATTCTGTCTTATAATTGTGTGTCTCAGGTATTTGCATACACGTGCACACATTCACTCAGCCAGCCAACCTAGAATTTGTCTAAGCAGTCTTCAGCCAAACAGATTATGCACTGTTTTTATCTGATATTCCATCTCTCCAAATCTCCCGCAATTACACAAATCTTTTGAATCTGTTTGGGCTTAGCATTGGCAATGTGATCCTTGATGCTCCAGGTCTACAAACTGACCAGCCTCATTTTCATTCTGTGACTGATTGTAGATAAAACATTCTCCTCTCACTGGTTGGGCAGCCATGTGTAGGTCTTTGTCTATCTGATAATTGTGTGCGTGTGTGTGTGTGGTGGTCTATTGTGTGTACACCTATGCTTCCAGTTCCTGAGTTTTGCTGTTGGATGATGTGGGCATCATCAGCTCCTGTTGCACCATTAGTATCTGGCTGCACATTAAACTGCTGTTTAAGTCCCTCTGCTTCATTCTGCCTTGTGCACTCATGCATATTGCAGAAGGTTTCTGTGTTTGTCTTTGTGTCTCTTTCTCTTGCCCTGCACTGTTTGGACTCTCACTCATCACTCTTGCACTGGATCGCAGGCTCTACTGTTAGCGCTATTGTTCTCAGAAGAGGTATTCTTTTTCTGTGGCATTGCCAGTTCACTGCCCCCATTTTCACGTTTTCTGTGTGATGAGGCATTACAATGGATGAACAATATTCCTTTAGAGAGTGGTTCATCGCTTCTTAGTGGCTCCACTCCAACTGCGGTCAAGGCCAAAAGCAGTTCGGAAATGTTGTCATCACATCTCATGAGCATGGACAGACAAGCAACACAGAACGAAAGAGGAAAGAGAGAAAGAAAGAAAGAGAATGAAGAAGGGATGCAACAGACTGTGGGAGTTTTACAGCATTATCTGCTCTTTGCATGAGGTTGCGTTGTCACATATTTCAATAATGTGTCTTTTCTGGTTGGCTGCGCTCAGCTTAGTGCAGACACTTGTAGCGGAAGACGTGAATGGGCCAGAATTCAATTTTGCACTTGAGTAGTGTCCAAGCAAGTAAATTGGAAACTGTGAATTTTTACAGAGATTTCGCAAATGTAAGACATTAATATTCCTACAATGAACCTTCTGCTATGCTTAAAACAAACAAAGCCACCCTGGCACAGGATGAAACAAGGGAAAGCTGCCAAGCAACTGCACAATATCAGTGCAGAAGATCTCTGGGCTTGAGTTAGGCTGTTTGACTGGCAAAGGCCTCCAGCTTGAAATCCTGTAGTTGGAAGAGTGTGGTGCTATGAATCAGCTGTGATCCTGCTGTGTATAAATTTACAGTGGTAAGGAACATTTATTAATATGTTTTTCTTTTGTGTGTTTTCGATAAAGGTTCAGAGCTGTAGGCTCACGACGTATGTTACAAATGGGTGTAGTTTTTTTCCCCCCCATGGTGGGAGAAGGGCCAGGAGGGATACTGGAAGACTCCTGCAGTGAGAGACTAATTTACACACTTACAGTACATAACCTAGATCCAATTAGGCAGTGAAAACACTCACAGCAGCCTACGCACATATTCAATTCTGTTTGTATAAATGATCATGAGAGTGTGCGCTCGCTATTGTCTGTTCAAGTTACACGTGTGTCGCAGCAGAACCCTGAGCACACACGACCACAGATCACATTTTAGGCCAGGATCCACTTGGCACCTCTGTTCCCCCAGCTCCAGGGTCATTTCATTGGTTTAATGAATGCTGTACCTTTGCTTGCCGGTCGACGTCAGTCTCCTTGATAGACAGCTCTGGGTCCCTCCATTCCTCCAACCTGACACCACCAAGCAGATGGAGCGGAGCCTAAGTGGGCTGCTGCTAGCTTTGCCTTGGCTAATAATATAATAGCCTGGCATTAACCATGTTGAACTAGCCACTGTGCGTGGCGCCAAGCAAATGAGCAGCGCAGCTGGGCCATCATGGCAAGTGGCAGAGCAGACAAAGCCCAGGAGGCACAGAGGCAGAAAAAAAAGGTAGTTTAGCACAATCCCTCCAGACGCAGCTTGTGAATATTCATCAGTCAACCCCTCCATCCCCACCTCCCCAAATCCAGCGCTCTCACCAAATGTATTATTCAAAAGAAGCATTTTCACTATTAAATACTATAAATAAGTAATGACATCTGGTAACAGTTTTTGTCTGCTGAATTAATGACAGGAGCACTGTTGAGTATCATCCAGTGATTGGAGAAATTATTCCTGAAGGTGGATTTTTGTTGAGCTACCTTTCCCCTTTGTCTCGCCAGTTCAGTCTGTTGCCTTCTTTGTTAAACTCATTTGGCACATCAGTAAATCTGAATTGGCCCATGTCTCTATCATTCACCTTCTAAAACACCCAAGAGGAGAAGCAAATACTGAGAAGCTGCTTATTTTACCATTATGTCTGCGTTTCCTTGCCTGAGCTAATCTTCGGAAAATGAAAAGCTCCCCGTTGGCTCTTTCTGTGGTTTCAGCACTGGACAGCGCCTGAAGAATTGCCTGTTTTGTCTACCTCATTGTTTTTCTTTCCTGCCTAACAACAAACTCAACAGGGGTTCCCACATCTTCACGCACATAGTGTACAACTGAAAGACGTCTTACTGAAGGATATCAGCTATAAAATGCTGGAATTATCGTTGTACAGACTGTATCTGTCAGACTCTGATGAGCTGGTAAACAGGGAGTGCTTGGAAAGCCTACAGATGGTCAATGTTTTCCACTCATGTGTGCTCCATTTCCCAAAGGAGAAACCCACATTTTTTGTTGTATGTGACTAAGATTTTAATGTGTAGCGGTACAGAGGACTCCCCTGGATCTGCTCGTTGATTTCCAGACAGGAAGATCATAAGTAAAGCTTGAGAAACACAAGATACAAGTGGGGAGAACAATAAGAAGGAAGTCTTGTTACCAAGAGTGATTTCTGTCTGTCTCCCTCTACTTTAGCCTGCCGCCTGGATTCTACACAGTGCGGCTATTTATGAAGCCGAGGCGCCAGTATGATACTTATAAAGCCCTCCTCGCTAATCACAGATCTAGCTCTGGGGTTCCTGAAACCAATCACAGGGATTTATGGGAGAGAATTGGAAAGTAGTAAAATTAATTTTATTCAGAACCTTTGCACCCAGGTTAAGCTTATCCATGCAGGCTGCTGCCAGGTGGGGAGCACATTATTCTAGTTCTGCAGCTGTTGATATTGGTTAGCACTTTCGAGCCACACAAAATAAGACACAATGCGATTTTCCCTGCTTGGTGTTATTCAGGCAAATGTTGAATGGCAAATTTTGAAAAACCATTATGTTCAGTAGTCCTTAGTGCATGATTTCTGGAATTTTTTTGGCTTCAAAAGGTTTCTTGTTGGTTTATTTTGTCATTGTAAAAAATAATAATAAATCAGTTCCACTTTTTATTCTGTACCCCATCCAGGAAAAAATAAGTTTCTGTAACCCTCCTGTCTGTCTCCCTGGAGGCAAAGAACTGTGAATCATATTTTTCTTAAAGGTTTTTATTGTTGTGGTAATATTGGCTTTTACTCTTGTTCACAGTTCTTCTGATGAAGCAGCGCTGCTCATTTTAATGAATCCAGACGCTCTCACAAATTAGAATAAAATAGATTAAAATATAACCGTCTTGGACTATGACGATCACATAAAAGTCACTCTAAAAATATAGTCTAAACTTTAATATGTAAATCCACTCTGACAGAAAGACCAAACCAAGCCTTCTTATGTCGTATTTTATAGGGTGTGATCAAAAATTCAGAGAACAGGTCCATAAAAGTCAAAAGCCTTACCTGATTTAAAGTTGTCCGATTTCCGATTCAAGGTCATCTTTTTCAGGCATGTCCAGGGAGCCTTGAGTGTGGCTTCTATCATTAGCGTCTTACTGGAAGT